CTTCCCCTTGGGTCTTCTTGAACGTTAGAAGAACTACGTTCGAGGCCTGTTTGACTTCAAGAATTTACCTGGGATAACCCGTTAATTACCAAGTTTATCATTTGTAAATCAGCGCAATCGTATTAATTCTTTGCCATCCTAACTCCTCTGTGGTTTATCACAAATATTTACTTGCCAACCAATTGATATTTTTAGGTCTCCTTGCATTGAAAGATAGCTTTGCAGCATTGTTTTGGGTGACACTCGAGTTAGAGATTTTTTTAGGTTTTCACCTGGAATCAACTGGCTCTATTCCACAATTTATTTGAAATCTCAGCGGAATATCGTTGCCTTGCGTGTTTTGTAACGCGACGTTACAGGCCTGACGAATGAGCTGAACCGTGAAATTAAGTAAGCAGTTTGCATCATTCACTCATGATTAGTAATTCAAGAACCGACGGGTCAGTTATTGTTCAGGTCTAGCACGACGTGAAGCAAAGTTTACTCGATTTAGTCGGGGCAGTCTTAATATAATTTGACTCTGCTACAAGTAAGATGTCTTCGTCCCGTAACTCGAAGGATGTAGAGGATTCGCCTGACGAAGGAGTCTTTGAGGAACTCCACAAGCACATTAATGACGTCCATGACCTTCTGAAGCGGGAGACGAACAAGCTTCGCAAGGAGAAGGAGGCCTTTGACGAGGTGGCGAAGAAGCTTGAACATGTTCACTTCTCGAAGATGTTGAAACTCAATGTAGGCGGCCATATGTTTGCGACAAGTCTAGAAACCATGACTAAAGATCAAGGTAATTCTACTGTTATATAAAAAATAACAAGTTGATGTCTGTTAAGTGATCTTCGATAGGTCATGAAAGTCGTTTAGTAAAGAAATAGTGGGGTCAATATTCGTAAGCACATGGCCTTTTAGCATATGAAAACGAAAAGCTCGTTGAGCTTGGGTTTTGGTTGGACAAGCAAATATTAATGAGGTAAAGTTGAAAAAAAAAAAAGAGAACCAACATGAGAGATGAAGAACAACTGCTAGTTCCAACTACTTGGTCGGATGGTCAGCGGTTAGTGGACAAGACGGCTTCTTATTTCTTCGCTCTTGAGAAAATTGTAGTCAGTTTGAGTCTAGTGCTCTGTAGCGTGTGCTGCAGCGAAGTTTTCAGTGATAAGAAAGGTT